CTCATCTTCCTCCTGCTTCTCCTCATCAACCCCTTCCGCCATCTCCTCCTCTTTCCCGTCGAGTGCTTTTCCCGTCACCTTGCACCGAAGAACCGAACCCCTCTCCAGCTAACCCCGTTATCCCCCGCACTACTCCTAGCACCGATGCACAAACCGATACTTCAGACCAACAACAACAGATCTACGTTATCGACACCGACACCGACACCGATGACCAGATGGAGATCGACGAAGTCGCCGATGTACTCGAAACCAAGGTGAACTCGAATACCGTTGGATCTAAATCTCCGGCTTCGCGTGGTCGGGATGGGTTGGTGGATATCGAAGAAGAGGCAATGGAAGAGGAAGAGGAAGAGGAAGAGGAAGAGGAAGAGGAAGAGGAAGAGGAAGAGGAAGAGGAAGAGGAAGAGGAAGAGGAAGAGGAAGAGGAAGAGGAAGAGGAAGAGGAAGAGGAAGAGGAAGAGGAAGAGGAAGAGGAAGAGGAAGAGGAAGAGGGAGAAGGGAGTGTTAGAGTTGAAGACGTTGTTGACCCTAGGTCTAAACCTGGGCGTGAACCCAAGGCCAAGCCATCGGAACTTCTCACCATGGAGGCGTTGTTCGAGAGTTTGTTGGAGGGGGGGGATATCGATGCAGGAGGGAATCAATCCACGCATTCAACACAGCACACGAAGAAGACGACGCAGGATGATAACAAATCCCTAAATACGGCGAAACCGAAATCAACCAAGCCCAAGTCCAAGTCCAGGTCCAAACCCGAAACCAATTCCAACAATAAATCCAACACCAAAACCAAAACCAAGTCCAAAACCAAGTCCGGAGCTAGCCGCGCCCCCAAATCCAAATCCAAGGACCCGACCGCCACCGACGCACCTGAATCCTCCACCTCCTTATCAACATATATCCCATTTCCAAACTCGAGTGTCCCGCAACCGCTGAAGCTAAAGCGTAAACGATACATCTACGGGAGCTCAGACGAGGATGAGTATAATCATTTGGAAAAGGATAAGGATAAGGATAAGGAGAGGGAGAGGGAGAGGGAAGTTTTCGAACGACAAAGTACTGCTCCGGGACCAGTAAAGAAGAAGCGGTTGAACTGATAATTGGAATTCAATGTACATGCTAGTGAAGGAAGAAGAAGTTGAAGATCGAGATGAAGAAGATGGCGTCGATGGAGATGATGGTGTCGATAGTAAAGTTCTTGTTTAGATATGTAGACAGAACTACATAGCAATCAATGGCAGTAAAAAGGAACACCCGCTTCCAAGCACCGTTTGTGGTATCTCGCTAGCAAAGAACCAGCCACAAAACACGGTCCCCCAAAGGTTTCTTATAGCAGCAACTTGTATCGATCAAGTGACCTCCATTACGCGCACGATTTCTCTTTGTACCAACTAGTTAGTATTGCCGTACACCCGTCTTCGGTTGAAACGCGACACCTGGAAGAGTGGACGACTCATTCTTCTTAACATCCATCCTCAACCCCTCGACCCTCATGCATCAACAGTCGTGCTTGCAACGGATACAGCTAACGCAGAGATGGTCAAATCGGGAGATTGTGCGTTGTTGGAAACGGTTCGAGAGCCTTCCGGGGATGAACGAGACTGAGCCAACGAGCCTGTCAATGGTACGGTCGCATTTGGTGGATACACCTTGTTAAATAAATTCTACAATCGATTTGAGTGGCACTGACGGTGCATGGTTAAAACTTAGCCCAGAAGGATCTCCTCGCTATGATCATGTTATTTCTATTTCATGCTCGAAATTCACAGCTGGCTGTCATGGCGGTCACACTGCGAGGGAAAAATGTTATTAACAAGTGGACACAGAATTATTGTTCAAGATGCAACTCGTAATTTTTGTGCTGTGTCAGAAAGATATGATGAGCAACTTCTACGCTGACGACGTGTTATAAATGATAACATTCGCCGTCTCCTTTGGCAACAAGTTCGCAACGCTCAATCTCCTCTTGATTCTAATGGCATTAGAGACCAGCACGTCTTTCAGCAACGATTCGTTTTGTTTTTTCCCTCGAGATGGCTGCGTATTCGCTTTGGGTGAATTCAAAAGAATCTGTGGGCGAGCCTGTGGCTTCGCCTTTGAGGCTGACACAGGGGTCTTGTGAGTAATGATTTCAGCGGTGTTAGTTGTAATCGAGCGTAGACGAGCAGGAACCCAATTGACTCGCGGGGGCGGCCTCATGATGTGTTCAAAGGGGATGGTAGGTTGCGGTTGCACTTTGGGAAACGACTAAAAAGATGTTAGATGGTATGCGATCCGATACTACAAAAGGGACTAACCTCAGTCTTGAACTGCACCCAGACTTTCTCATCGGCTGCGAAGCCTTCGTTTATACGTTTGCCTCTGACTAGTTTTTCAAACTCAGGTTGCGTTTTTTGCATGTGTTCTTTTATGAACAACATGAAGATGGAATGAAGCCGCATTTTTTCATATCCGCGCAATCTGATTACAATCAGAGACCGTTGTTAAAAAGGTACCACTGAAGACTCACCCTCTGCTATCGCACTCGGTGAAGAAATAGTCCAGAAACTTTGCCTGGCGTCTTTCGGTAAGGTCGTCGGACCATGCCTGTCTCATATAAGCACGGTACTCCGCCTTGAAAGATGCGGAGTTGTGGTCATCATGTTCGACGGTTGTAGTGGACATAGTTGACAAGGTGGATAATAAAGAAGTAAGCTTGGAGGATTGCGGTGGAAATTGAAGCACTATCGGAGGAGCAGGCGGGTTCTTATACTCTCGATGCGATATGAGACAATAGCTCCCCTTTCTTGTCGTACATTGATCTCCTGGGTCAGTGGACGTCGTAGACGAAGTTCAGACCACTCAGGGGTATTGTTTCCCCCTTCCCTCCTGGTCCCTTTCCCGCCCTTTTCTCTTCCCCCCTTTTTACTAGTATTTCTTTCATCGGGGGTATCATTCGCTCACTCCCTTTTGGCTAATGAATCTATGCAGACGATTACTTGAATGGATTCACGCTGGTTCAACAGCTGAGTATGATTACCTGCCCGAAAAAGTAGTTGATGCAATATCATGACCTCCCACAATTATCTTCCGAGTCGTGTAAAGTGGTTCAGTTCGTTAGAGTCTTGAATGATGACTGCGGAAGGGAATTGAGACATCATGAATGCAGAGGGGAATTCGAGGGGGGCGTGGGGTGTATGAGGGTGTTTCCGGAACCACCCACCACCGAGACATCCTGAACAAGTCCTTCAGTAATTCGGATTTTCTTGCAGTTGGAATATGACGAACATCTGTCCACACGTCACACGAAAAGACTCACATCCACCCACTCCTCCCAATCGCTACGTATGGCACTGGAAATCGAATACTCCGCCGCCTCACTAGCGCTGGTGAGTTCTATCGTTTAGACGCGCCGGGGCCGGTAGTGTTGTAATCAAGACATTATCGATGCTGTTAGCTTCGCCGTCCCACAAAGAAGATAATGCCGTCTTTGCAGCAACATCGGGGCTTGTAAATTCGAGAATGATTGACCATAGCCTTCCGTTCCGGCGACTGTAGATGGGGCTCCGGTACCTAGGCTAAACCATCATGAATCGATACAGCCCTATATATCATTCTTTAGCTTTTTCCAAGGGGGGCCGGGGGTGTTAGTAGCACCGTTCAGAGCCCTGTGCGGTGACTTGCTTCGGTGTACCCCTTCAAATAAACCTGTGTTAAATAAACCTGCGTTCCTCGTTCGCATACAATGTATCCTGATACCCATAAAACCCACACCCATAGAACCTACCTGCCTCCCGTCCTGACTCAAAGCGATAACCTGAACCCCAGGACCAAACATGTTGTTGACGTTGACAATGTACATCCCAAAGTTATCATGAATCCATAATGTGCCGGAAGCGTCGCCGGACCCGGCAGTACTTGCAAGCCAGTGGAAGAGTGTGGTGGAATTAGACGTGAAGGTGGCAGTGTTTGTATAGCTATAGATCTAAGGTACTAACGATCAATGCTTCTCGTACAAGTTGTGATATATATACTCACCGTTAAGGCCCCCGTCCGAATCAGTATAAGCGCCCAAGAAGTAGTAGAAGAAGATACATCAGACCAACAACTTGAGCAGATCCCCAATATCGATACTGAGAGTACTGATAATGAGATGGAGATCGACGAAGTAGCCGGTATACTTGACCCGGAATCCAAGGCCAAGGTGAAGACTATTCATCGAGGAAGCTCTGCCGAACCTTCGAACGCCTCCGCAAAGGAAAGCTGTCAACGAGTGCATACGAGCAGTAGGCATTCAGATGTCCCGCACTGCTCTCCGGCTTCACCCGTTCGAGATGGCTTGGCGAGTAACAAAGAAGAGAAACAGGTGGATGCTCGGGTTGATCACGGACGTGAACCCAAGGTCAAGTCATCGGAGATTTACCATGAAGGCGTTGTTTGAGAGTTTGTTCGAGGAAGATGATCATAACGACGAAGCAGCAAATCAATCCAAGCCTATACAAGCAATCAAAAGAACGTACAAGGCCTCCGACAACGACCAAGAACACGCAGGATAACGGCTTCAACAACAAATCCCCACAGATGCCAAAACCAAAATCAACGTGACCAATCCCAAATCCAAATCCAAGACTAAACGCGCCTCCAAATCCAACTTAGACCTCAGCGTCGTCGTCAACGAGACTGAATTCTCGACGTCGTTGCTGTCAACATGTATCCACCTACGAACGAGGATGCCCCGAAACCACTGAAACGGAAACGATACGGTTACGAGAGCTCAGACGAGGATGAGGATATTGGAGACAGAGAGAAAGAAAGGGAGATGTTCGGACGTCGAAGTTCCTCTCCGGAACCAGTAGAAAAGAAACGGTTGAATGGTTTTGACAGTAGACGGTGTGAGAAGAAGATCATTTGTCGGGAATTCATGAGAGGGATTGAGTACTTGAATTAGAAGATTTTCGGCTTTTTCTCTCCAGTGGTTACTATCAGCAAAAAAGCAAAAAAGCATGCATCGATCGACCGCATAGCAGCAACTTGTTTCGATCAAGTGACCTCGGGGTGCATAGTTTGTGCGACATAATATGGGCCCCGCGCGCTACCACTGCGCCATGCTGCTGGTTATTGTAATTCATTTTACTCATGATTATACGAGGCTTTGTGGAACAGTCACACTCGAACCTGCGAAGTCATGGGCCACGTACCGCCATCCAAGTTCTTCAGTATTGCCCTCCCCGATGTGTACATCAAGACGACGCCTTACTACAGGGAAACCCCCGGCTGCGAAGATGAATCCGAATGCTGGTGTATTGCTAGCTGATGGGATAGAGCTCTCAGCTCACGCAGAGGCGTTCAAATCGGAAGATTATGCGTTGTTGAAGAAAGGATAGGATAGGATAAAAGTATATGAGGTTTCGGGGATGAAGGAGACTCCAAATATGGTACAGTCGCGCTTAGTAGTAGATACATCTTGGTAATGAAATTCTACAATCATCTTGAGCGATGCTGATAGTCTCTCTTTACACAACGCTTAGCCTGGGACTGCGACCGACTCGGATTCATCCTACACACAATACATGTTACTCTGTGATTGAACTTGCGCGCCAGGCTCCAGCAAACACGGTGCGGCGGGAAATAATAAAAATCCACTTTTTCTGATAACCAACTGTTGCACGACTATTACTGCACTGTGTGTTCCAAAACTTCGACTACAGGTAGGGAGAATTTAGAACATATAGGAGGGCATAACTTGAAAGTTGTGATCAGGTTTATTGAGCTGCACATTAAAACCCTGACCTACGAAATGCCCCGTTCCACTTGGCCCCTCCGTACCATGGGGCCGATCACTCTTTCCGAATTAGTAGCATTCCCTCTTCTGAATCAGTGTACTTACCCCTCTTGTCTGAGGCTCTTGTATGACGCAGTAGCAAGAATTTGAATATAAATACATTCTGCCTCGACGTGTCGTGAACCATGAGATGTAACGAGCCTTAGAACATTTGAACCAATCCTACTGTGCAGGTCTTTACCAGGTGATTATATTCAAGACATAGTCACAGCCAAGATGTACGACGTGTACGGGGATGGATCACGCAAGGTAATTTTCTTCAAAAAAGCAACATATTTAAGGTATGTGAGAAGCATGATAAATAATTTCTACTTCGACGATGTGGTATAAATAATAACGTTCGCCGATTCCTTGTGCGACATGCTCCCAACACTCAATCTCCTTTTGATTTTATAGGCATTAGATACCAACACATCTTTCAACAACGATTCGCATTGTTGTTTCCTCTGAGATGGGTGTACATCATGATTCGCCTTGTGAGAATTCAAAAGAATCTGGGGCCGAACCTGTGGCTTGACTTTTGAGGGTGACACGGGTATCTGATGAGTGATGATTTCGGCGGTGTGAGGCGTAATTGAGCGTAGACGTGCAGAGACCCAATTAATTCGCGGTGGCGGCCTCATGATATATTCAGAGGGAAGGGGGGGTTGCGGCTGCACTTTGGGGAATGACTGAGGGGCGGCATTAGACAGCTTGCAGATGGTCAACACAAAAAGGGGGCCAACCTCTGTTCTGAAGCGTACCCAAACCTTCTCGTCGGCTGCGAAACCCTCGTTGATACGTTTCCTTCTAACCAGTTTTTCAAACTCAAGTTGCGTTTTTTGCATGTGTTCTTTTATGAACAGCATGAATACAGAATGAAGCCGCATTTTGTCATAGCCACGCAAACTGGTTTGATGAAGATACAATTACAGACCAACTTTTAAAAGAGTAAATAAAACTTACCCTTTGTTATTGCACTCGTCGAAAAAGTAGTCTAAAAGCTTCGCCTGTCGTCTTTCGGTAAGGTCGTCGGACCATGCCTGCTTCATATAAGCACGATATTCTGCCCTGAAAGCTGCGGAGTTGTGGTCACAATACTCAGTGAATGTAGTGGACATGATTCGTGGGGTGATCGATTAACAGGTAAGTTTAGATGATTGCGGTTAAAATGAGAAGTATGTTGAGGAGCAGGTGGGTTCTTATACTCTCGATGCAATCATGAGACAATAGCTCCCCTTTCTGGTCGTATATTGATCTCCTGGCTCAGTGGATGTCGCAGACGAGGGGTATTGTTTGTTTCCCCTTCTCTCCTTGTCCCTTTCCCGCCCTTTTCTCTTCCCCCTTTTTTACTTCTCTCATCGGCGGTATTATTCGCTCACTCACTTTTGGCTAACGAATTAATGCAGACGATACTTGAATACATTGCCGCCGTTCAACAGTCAAGTATGATTACACCGGCGCGAAAGGGTAGTTGATGCAATACCATAAGCTCCCATAATTATCTTCGTGTAAAACAGTTCAGTTCATTCGAGTCTTGAATGATGACTGACAAAGGGGATTAAGACATAATGAACGCAGAGGAGAATTTGAGGAGGCGTAGGGTGTATGAGGGTGTTTCCGGAAGTACGTATACCACTCACCACCGAGACATCTTGAACAAGTCCCTCAGTAATTCCTCCTTGCAGTTGGAATAAATCCCCTATGACGAACATCTTTCCACACGTCACACAAAATATTTCACATCCACCCAATTCTGCCAATCACTACGTACGGCGCTAGAAATTGAATACTCCGCCGCCTCACTAGCGCTGGTGAATTCTATCGTCGAGCACGAAAGAGTATCAGTACAGTATCAGATCAGAACAGAGAGTAAGCTTACTATGAGGGCAAAAGCACAAGCACAAGTGTACCATGTGCGAAGGCTCATGAGAGTCTTGCAAAGATGTAAATTACCAATGGCAATCACAAGGACCTTTCTCAGACCAGAGACGTTCAGTAAGATACGCTTTGACCCTGTTCAAATCAGGTACAACTGTCGCGGCCATTACGGGCCGGATCTTTTCTTTGACCAGTGGCCACCACCACGCTGCACTTCATCATCGAAACCGTCTCATATTGGAACACTAGGGAACACTGCATAAGAATCACATTCGGACTCAACAGGACTCAACCAGCCCGTATAATAATTCGCACGTGCACGAAGCACTAGTCAGTCTCGCATAAATTTTGAATCAAACCCAACCACAACTTGAACAAGAGGATATCACCTTTATTCGTCTGCCTTGAAAGAGCCAATCTCGACCACTATGGGTCGCTATACACCAGATCCGAAAGTCTTCGGCATTCCACTATTCGAGAAGTACATCAAAACTACCCCAGAATTCGAGACTATGGCTCCTTCTACCAATGGTGATGTGCTTTTGCAATATCTCTCTGCAGCCTTCCTGCTTGGGGAACGAGTTGCTGAATCGGTCCCCTCGCGAGTGGTCTACGTGGACACGAAGGAGGGCGCTACACCGTGCGTTGTGCTAGCCTCAAATAAAGATCACGCGGCGAGCTTTGACACAGAGGAGGGAAGAGAGACGTTGAAGAAAGTGTATGAGATCATACGCCTAGAACAGCCTCCAGCATGGTACAGATGTTCTTGAAACTGTGAAGGTATGTGGTTACTTGTTTTAAATGTACTTTAGGCTGACCTTTTCACCGTCTCTAAATAGTTCACCATCTTTTAGATAACAACTATTACATCAACCATGTTCTGGCTCTTTTCATGCTATACGAAATTGCTATTTGCTTTGGTCAGCGAAACAGTACAGTCGATGATGACATTGTATCATCATTTCAGGCAGTGCTGATTTTCGAAGCTTAGACTCTCATCCTGTAGTACCCTACGATCCATTTTTTCACCTCTTCATCCACATACAAGTAACTCTGTTATTGATGATCATCTCATGCAATGGAAATTTCATTTTGACCACCCGGTGCTGCTCTTGCTGCTGTTCTACCACCGGGCAAATATAGGGGGATATATCACTGGCAGGTCATCAGGTCACGACGATGCTGTGATCTATTCCAGGACAATGGAAAGGGAAGTAGGTAGTAATTATAAGGTATCGGGACTATGTTCCTTAAGAAAGCACGTGATCGTTCGTGGCGTAAAGAATCTTTTTCTCAGAGCTCCCACTGAGCTCCCATATTCTGACATGGGCCGCTATACACCAGATCCAAAAGTCTTTGGAATTCCATTATTGGAAGAGTACATTAAAACCACTCCGGAATATGAAATGATGCGTCCTCATACCAAGCACGTCGTCGTGCAGTATGCAACCGCAGCCTTTATGCTCGGCGAACGAGTCGCTGAATCGGTCCCTTCTCGGGTCATTTATGTGGAAACGAAAGAGGGCCCTGCACCGTGTGTTGTCTTAGCATCAGATAAAGAGCACGCGGCCAGTTTTAGCACGGAAGAGGGAAGAGAGAAGTTGAAGAAAGTGTATGAGATCATACGCCTAGAACAGCCTCCGGCATGGTACAGATGTTCTTGATTTTGTGAAGGTACGTGATTACTCATTCTTAATGTACTCTTCTTACCTTTTCTGAGTAGCTCCGTCTTTTCTATCATGATCCTTACATCGACCACGTTTTCATGAGATGAAATTGCTATCATTTTGCAACTTTGCTGTACTATCACTGCCCGATTCCTAGGAAACGATTTTACGAGATGTACATGGTTTCTTCTGAATCCTCAAACACACTGGATGCTTGCGGCCGACATGTTGACTCGCTACAGTGTACGAAACAAGGTTGAAACATTAAGACGAATCTGTATGAGAGGCGCGAGGTGTGGTTGTGACACCTGTCCAGTCGTTGGACGGCATATGCCCAGCAGGGCTTACAAGGGAACTGCACTATATAATGCCTTAAGGTACGACCAGCGTCACGTTGAGACTTTCAAGGTGGAATTCGAGCGATTTTGAAGGTTGCAGGATTTGAAAAGTTGAACCACTGTTGAGGTCGCACACGAAATGACCCGCAGTATTCCCGCAATTGCGAATCTCTTGGTTAGTATTGGGTGTGCCACACAGAGCTCGGAATAGTATCTGAGGTCTCAGTGACCGCCAATTTTAATTATGTGTTGGTTGTAGTTGGGTTGTATATATTCAGACGTCCAGCATACGACGCTTTGACCCATTCTGAAATAGATTTAGGTGAGAAGATTACTCTATGTACATACCACGATCATGTTCAAAAACGATTCTGGCGATCTTTTTTGTTTCAAGGCTCTGAAGGTG